CTGACTTTTTAATTTATAATTTAGAACAATGTCTATTATCTAATGTGAAACTAAGGCAAATGAGCTACATGTTTAAAGACTTACCTTTCAAGTGGAATTCTATCCTATGACAACTTTCTTTCAACATTTTTTCATAATATTATGATACAAACGTATACCAACCAAGAATAGCACAGTATTTAATGCAAAATATGTGCCCTGTCCTTGTCACATATATATATATAAATAGGTATCATATGATATCGCTCTTATTGAATCATAGATATTTTAATTATGTTTATAAACACAATGGATACCATTCTTTATTTCCTTCCATTTAATCAATCAGAGAATATGTTTAAATATGATTTGTCCTTTTAAAGTTGCGTTTAAGTTGCTTTATACAATTTGAAATCAACTGAATGCAGATTGATAGTGATGAAATATGCATCATTATTACTTTGTACATAAATAGAACACTTCACCTACGTATGAGTATTCACTAGGTGGACACCAATGTCATTAGTTGTTAACAACAGGAAACGGTGCTACCCCACGTAAAGTAGTTGCATAACTATATCCAATAGGGAATATAATGGACATAATGAAGCGCGTTATTCTTAAGCATCTAAACATACTATTGAGTAGAAAATATGATAAACAAGATCAACAAGGAAAGGCGGCGTTCAATGAACGCAACCCCCATGTCGGTACGTTAAAAGTGCATTTATCTTCAATGAACACATTCGAAACAAAATTCAGTGATGAAAATGAAATTTATTATATGAATGAACTATTCTGATTAAAGTATATTTGTGTAATTAATTTAAACACCTTCTTTTTAACATTTGTTTCTCGTAATGTTACTCCCAAACTATTTTAGATTTATGTAGTACCTTTTTATTCTTTTCTCGTCTTTAATTGATTTAAATAAATTTATCATTTCTTATTACGCTAAATCAAATGATTGTTGTAGGGCTTTTTCGATTGACATTTATGTAAATTATGTTTTGGACATATAAGGTTCAATTGCAGCAAGTCATTGTCATAGCATCAAAATCAGGAGTAAAATATATATTGGCCTTTTTTTGTTAAACATGCAAATACTACACAATTTGGTAACATAAAATTCAAAAATTTATTGATAAATACGATAAGTATATATATATCAGTGTCAACCTATCATATGCATTGGAGCAGCAGTCATACAATTTTATGATTTTATGACTGTTGTTTTGTTAGTTTTCTATATGACGGACAGACATGGCAGCAGACCTTGCAATGGATTTGAAATGTTAGTATATGTTTTCTGTCATTTGTGTATCTATGGGCTGAGGTCTAAGTATGCAATAAACATTTGTGTTTGCAGAAACAGTTATTTAATATATGAAATTCACAAAATCATTTAAAGGGAAATGTTTCTAATTTTCTAAAGATAAGTTTATGCAAAACAAGAAGTCAAATCTTGAAATGATGCTGTACAAATTGAAAATAAGCGATTTAATGTCTTAAAAGGATTAATTGTATGAATACCGATACTTAAAATAGGCTTAGATGTATAAATAATTAAACAGGGATTATTGTATGAATATCTTATAAGAAATTTATTTTAACAGACTTTACTGTATGAATGTTTAAACAAGCATCAACAAACTCATGAATATTTTAATGGATATATTGCTTCAGATAAGTCTGTTATGCACTCGAAACAATTGATAATACAATATTTTAAACCATGCCGTCAGATGACTTAACGATAACAGCAAAAAATAAGAGAAAAAGGTCACTGGGAGATGGTTTCATTTAAACTTTCAGAGAAAATTCATGATGGCAGTTGCTTCAATTTATGCCAATCGATACAAGTGCTATGTATTATTGTATTTTTAGAGGGAGAGGGGCTTTAGAATCAAGCTTAATAAACTGAATTTACTTTGTTTTCTTAAGCAGTAAGCTACCGTTCGATTATTTTATTATTAAACCTATATTATACTGTCATGAAAATACAAATTTTCTAAAGGTTTTATCAGCGTCTCATTTCTATTATCTGTACATTAAATTGCGTGAGAATAATATTTTTGGTTAACTGTTGATGGTTATAAATTCATATCTATAACTGAATTATGAAAAAAGACACAATGGAAAACATGGCTGCCGTGTCGTAAATCGTTACGGGATCATGTCTAACCAATATATGCCGTGAGGGGGGCAGGTGATTTGAAGTTGGCGACCTTAACAACAACAATGAATAATATTGTAATGACTATGTATTGTCTGGTCTCTTTTTATAAAATTATAGCTCTGCAAGATTTCAGAACATGTAACAACTAACATTTTGGACATTTAAATCATTTGTTGACATTGCATGATAAACAATTATATCGCGTTTTACTATACGTCTAAGATCAAATTATCGTCTGAACAATGCCATTCATATTTATAAAAATTCACATTTATTTTGAATATTCACAAAGGTATCATCTTTCAAATAAATCAAAGAATGGTGACCTAAAATATATTTTTGTTACCTCACTAAAAAGCTATTTCCTTTACGTGTCTAAAGATCTAATAGAATAGAAAAATAGTTAAGGTAATAAATATCTCTATTTAATCAATCTTGAAATAAATTGGAAACAATCATAACGTATAAATGTCGTCTTTGCGTAATGAAGCATAACATTCTAACGATAAACACAAGCAGCAGATATAAACATGAAGTTCACATCTTATACGAGATTATACGAGATTCCATCATATATAGGATTCGTACCAATTCTCGAGCTCGAAAAATGTCTGGCTGTTCTTAAACTCATTCCATACATCAATATTGCAATACTTTATTTTTACGAGACAGCGTTGAAAAATGAAAAGGTTGATTGCAATGGAAAACAAATACCTTGTCAATTCACTTTATTCATAAGGCTACCGTTCTAATTGCTTGCGTAATGTATTTTTAAAAGAAGCAACAAACTTCTCATCACTCGTACTGTAATATTAACTTAAATCTATGTCATCCATCAGTCTCATCAAGAAATCGTATTATTATATAAGGATCAAACACCGGCTAAAGGGTATGAGTCAGGTATATCTGGCTGGAGGGTAACTGTTTGTGGTGGTAACGAGGCTCTGTCGAGTTTCCATTAAACAATTGCCAGTTTGTACCGGTAGTCGGTGTATGATTTCTTTTTCTTGCACATTTAATATTAAAATATTTCAGAAATGGATTGCGAAAATTTATTTTTTCATCTTTTTCCCATATAGCGGCGTATGAATTAACAACTTTATTCATAACGGCAAACGTCAATCTAAGAACGCATTTCATTCGTAAAGACGCGCAGAATTGACGTCATTTATAGAACGCGACGTGTCTTATACGACAGTTTTTTAACATCGGTGTAAACAGTAAACAATCCTGTCTGATAAGCAAGAAATGTATAAGAATGCACCTGATTCAACCATAGTATCAAAGTAGGCGTAAGGATTTTACCCAGCATGGTTTTCAACCTTTGATATTCTCTTTAAATTCTTTAGATATTAAGACAAACAGAAACTGTGTAACTGTATACTGATACATGTGAAATGACATTTATAGATCATTGTTCACCATATCTTATAACATGCTTTCAGAAACTTAATTGACTTGAAAGCATATTATATTTAATGTTACTATTTATAGTTTACAAAGAATGGAATATAAGTAGCAAACATTCAGAATAAAGTAAATAGCTTTCTTGTGTAGTTTATTTCGACAGTAACTAATAGTGTTGACATTTGTTTTCTTTATTTTAGTTTGATATTTTATGTTTTTTGAATTATCAACTGTTGTTTTTTGGTATCAAAAATAAAAACTTTACTCCCTAAACCATTACAAACTTTTACTATCAAGCACCAAATATTTCAGGATCGAAAAGCCGATTTTGTTTTCTGAAACAATATAACAGATTCAGCAAAATTGTTTACATATATCATAGATATTGATTGAAAAATCCATGGGTTAATTAGAATCAACAATTATGTTAAATCTTATTCAAACAAAACCACTTCATTCCCTCTCCGTCTTCAACACACTCGAGTGATTTAACAAATAATGAACACAATGTGTGTTCCGACCTTTTTATATAGCAATCTTGCAGGAAGAAAGGGCAATATCCAATTCGTTTCTAGTAAGCGATATTTTAAATCTAATTACAAGAAATTCAAATTCAATTGACGATTTACGTACCCAAACATGTTTTAAATATATATTTGATATAATTACACGGTTAAATACGAAAGAGTATCTATCATAGAACACAATCTCTGTGATATCTAGTCACATGTGACTACCAAAAAGGTGCTTAGTAGGACACCAGACAGGCACGGGACAGGAGGGACATCTGATAAACAAATAAGGTTTCCCTTAAATGTGCAAAACTATCTCAGGTTAAATACACGGACAATGTATGGTTTGTGAACACGGTATATGAAATAGTTGAAAGATAGTGTTGTTTTTGTACCAATTATGTTGCCTTCATGAAGAGTAAAGTACTACCCATTTCAAAACAAAAGTGTTAAAGGAATAATTCTGAGATAAGAAAAAAACACCTAAAAATCAAGTGTGAATGCCTAACATAGATATCCTGAAGGATCTCAAGCCAAGAGATATCGAAAGATTATAAAGGAATATACTCGTACTCAATGTAAAATTGACAATCATATTGTGTGATTTTTTGTATGATTTGATTTAAAAACTTTTCATTTTATTTTATTTTTTATCATTTTTTACATTAAAACCAGATCATGATTATTTAAAGTTATATTTTCTTAAGGTTTACTTTACCTTGTTATAATTATGTTCACACATTTTTTAACTCGTCAAGTACTTGAATACAAAATATAAAACAGAGGAAAATGCCTTAACAAATGCAAAATATTATCATCATCGTTGATATTTATTAATGATGATGATACGAGATATGAAGTTAAATTGATTATCTTAATTCCAAGTTACATAAAATAATTATACAGTATAAAACAAAACATACCCTATAAATAATAACTCCACCAATTGTCTTGTCAGAATTGTTTTGTATTATCCATTGCACTAAGCTTCTACTCGTTAAAAGGTCTTAAATATTTGCTTTTCATTAATGTTGAAAAAAATCACTTCTTTAAAAACCGAGCTGATACTTCTTTGCATCCACAAATTAAATTGTTCTACAACAAGTTGTCATATCAAATTAAAACCGATCAATGCAGTAATCAAACACACGTTTATCTTCTTTGTTTTTCCACCTAAATATGCATAAATGTATATAAACTGGATAATATATCTATGTATCATGGAAGCACAACTTTCGACGCATTGGCCAGAGCTAAATTATAAATTAAAGTTGATGATCTATTTCACCAGAATGTTTTGACACGAACTTTTATGATGTATCTCATTTAACGACCGGAAACAGCACTTGCCCACGCAAAGTAGATTTAGATATATCTCTAAACAAGGATGCACTTGACACAATAATGCTCTTTTTGTTGGTCTATTTATAAAAAAAATTCAAGCCAAGATAGCTTTTTCCTTCATTACAATTTGTTCACTCTTCTTCATATATAAATGTATAAGGAAAACTTTCATGTAGTTAGTATGTGAATTCATCCAGCAAATTTCGATTTAACTTACTGAATAAAGAATCTTACAAATGATTTTAATATTTCCAATTCTTGTATAATCATTTCTAAATTGTAAAAACTTTTTATACACTTTAAAGTCCTTAAGATGTTTTGCTCTACTGTCAAGAAAACAATATATAATTTACCTACGATGAATTCATATGAGCCTTAGACAGTGTGAGCTTAATCCTAAGTACGTTATGATTTCTTGACACTTCTACAAAATATCTTTATCACAAGTAATATAAGGTCGTCCGTTTTCTGACACGAATTATTTCAAAGGTGTCCTACAATAGATGTATAAAAATCAAGTAATTACTGACTACAACACTTGGAACATACTGATGACACTTGATTTCTCTATAAGACATGCAATCATGACTGTTTGAAAAAAATGTTGTTCTGTTTGTAACTGATATGCAAGTATTAATCAATATTTTGTCACAACAATCATTTATTTTTTCTTAATTTCATTTTTCTTTTAAGTAGCAATTTTTGTATGTAGGTAACATTTGTTGAACACGCGAGAATGCGTATATGAAGTGTTAAAATCATTTTGATTTTTGAAATAAAGGATATTCATAATATTGGTATTTAATTAAAACTATATTATACATGGTAGGTATTATTCTTAGGGAAATATTTCAATTCCTTTTTTGTCTGAATATATTATGAAATAGAGAGAAAGTAAAACAGATGAAATATTAAATTTCTGATGTTAAAAAAGTTTACAATCATAAGATTTTGACTTTCAAAATAAAATTAAATATTTTTATTACATTTTAAGTAATAATTTAGTTCCGCCCATTGTTTTCTCTTTTAGGGCACACGCAATTTTTTACTTGGGGACTATATGCCGCTTTCATGAAAAGGCAATTACGTGTCACACACATTGGAGGTTCCATGATAACTGCCATATGAACACATCTGCGGATGTTACAATATTCATAATTGTTCCAGTTCATGTTAAATGTTGAATTCTGCTTAAGACGGTGCTATCGGACGTGGACGGTTGTTTGCACTTGACAATACCGTCCATGAACAGACTCAATCAAACTGAGCCTGCAACATTCTCAATTTTGACGTGTTGGACTTTCTTTAGGTATTCTTATTTTCTCTTTTTTATCCTACTGTATACATTATACAAATAAGGACAATTCATCAATACACTTTTCATCTTTTCATGATTACTCGTTCGCAAGTCTTTACTTATAATCTGTGACATAAAAAACCCAGAAAATAATCATTACGTATGACAAGCTTTATAGACTGTAGAGTGTCAATCTAAATGGCAGATGTTCATATTTATAATATACTCCATTTCTGCAAGTTAGAATGCGTTCTAGAATAAATCATACCATATAACTTGATAAGACTAGATTATATTGTTTTTAATCTTCTGAAAATATATATGAATCCTTTATATCTCTAGGTTTCAAAACATAAATATCAAAAGCACGAATTGTCAATATTTCACTCAGTCTTTTATAAATTCTACTTTTGGGAAATCATCAGAAGACTTAATGTCTTGCATACGTCAGATTTATCATGATACAATTCGTCTTCAAAATTATTTAGTTTACCACATCAGCAAGAAGTGCAAACAATGTTCATCCAGGGATTTAAAAGAAACCATCTTGTCTACGAAGCATGTGAATCGAATAAGACGGCTTATGATTTACTTCCTTAAAATCAAAAGTGTTTGCCATGGTATTGTAAATCGCCCATTTTTTTCTTTTTGTCAGGTTTGAAAATTAAGCAATGAGAATAACTTCGTGAAAATGCAAATAAGATATATAAATGAGAATAACACGATTCTAGAAAAAATATCCTTAGCAAGGGATACTTGCTTAAAGATGTTCCACACATATTCATTAAATAGTATAAGTAACAAAGGAAATTTAAACAATGTTTTTCTTAGTTTCGATATTTCTGTCTCAATAAACAAAAAACGCTACAGACAGAATGAAGCGAGGTCAGACTGCAGGGTTCCAGTAGGTGATGGGTTAAACATAATATATCATTTGGTTTGGTTGAAACACTACAATAAAATAATTCGAACGAAAAGGCATTGGCTATCGACTCCCTACTTAACTATAAGACTACATGAAATTTCACCATAATGAGACAGTTTGATTGTTTATAGTCATACTTCACTGTGATATTATAGATTGTATCATGTTCATTGTTACATTAGGTATTTCATGTTGACTAGAATTATTATAGAGATAACACCACTGTGACAGAAATTGCCAAGCTTCATTGCCCTTTGTTGTTCTTTTTATCACGGACTGGTTTTATTATCATTACATTGTGCATTTTCATGGAAACTAAATTATCGCACTGAAATATCATTTAAAATAACTATTCCGCGTAAAATAGAAAGAAATGAATCTCAAAAGAATGCCAAAAACGACAAAATTGAAAATGTTGCAGGCACTATTTGATTCAGCCTGGTCTTATTCTGTATCTTCTGTACTGGAGAGTACAAGATAGCACCGGCCTATGCAGTATTGAAGATTTAACATGTAATGGTAAAAGTTTGAGTTTGGAATTATCCGCAGATATAATCACACTGCGGTTAATATGGAACCTTTGACTGCTAGTGATAAATAAATGCAAACGAGTGTTATTCAATATCAGGTAACCACAATGTAAAATTTTTTGCAAAGCTCTTGCAGACATGCAATTGAAAAAATGTCGACACAGAAAAAAAATATGATTTATGTTTTGCATTTACTTGTTTATGCAATATGTTTTATGTTTTGCATTTACTTGTTTAAATATGCTGAAAATGTACATATTTCAATCTAGTATCCTAAAGAACCAATTGTATGTTTAAACATTTCGTAACTAAATTAATTGAAAACCTACATTATATTTGCAATGTATTTTTTCTATAATTAAGTGGTGATAGATTTGATTGTAAAAGTCAGCATCCTAATCTAACCATGAAATGCCATTTGTGTTATTGAACGTGATATGAAACAAATAATTTTGTTAAACTATTTAATTAATATAACAATAATAAAGTTTAAAATTATTGAGATTGTTCATGGACGACAACTTTGGATGTTCCGGCTGATCTTGGTATACACTGGTCGCATCGGTAGATTGATTTGCAGCCTGAAGGCTAAAGTTTAATTGAATAGCCGATGTTTTAAAATTGATCAGTTCCTGGTTACACTGATTTTAGATAAATTAAAATAAAAACATTTTTTGCAAATAGTAACCTATGTTGGTACTGAAATTTATGGTTTTGTAGGACTACAAAAGTCTCTCAAAAGGTTTACTACACACTTAAGTAGGGACTTTGTTTGTATTAATCAAACGTGCAAAAGTCAATATTAGCTATCAATAGATTAAACAATAACGTTAACTTGAAATCTCTAATAATAGAAAGTCAATTTACTTGCCAACTGTAGAGGATATCTCCAACAATTAAATGTATCATCGAAAACAAATTTCAGAAAATAAGCCTCAGATTCAAATCAGGCTTTTAGAAAGAAATATTCCAAAGACGTTTTTTAACTGTCACATCTGTAAGTGCCGTTTGCAATGTGTAAATAACTTTATTTAACTTTATATGCATTTTCAAAATTTTCATAACAATACGCATGAATATGGAGGCATGTTGCTTAAATGACCTTATAGAAAGGTATGTTCATGCCGTTTTTAGTAAAATAATAAGCCATTATGTATTCTGAAAAGTACAAAGCAGTTTGTCTTCTGTGTTTTAATTAAATGCTTTACAATCTTTTTTCTTATTTTTCTAGTTGATGATGAAGTTTGTTATTTATAAATTAGAATAAGAAACAAAATTTATATCGTAAGTTTGTAATCCTGACACATAAGCCAAACTATATCTATTCTAAATGATCTAATTAACTGATTGTTTCTCATTTTAGTTATGAGAATTGATATGTGCATTTGTTTATAAGCACTAACACTAAACTTTGGTAGTATTTGTATGTTAACTAAAGTAATCAATCAAGTTTTAATAAAATGACACGTATTAATAAAACTTTATCTTGAGGAAACATAAAGTATAATAAATAATTTAAGTCAACACGTACCTTTATAGAAGAACAGTCAAATAGAATTTGTAAATTCAATTCGATGATATCCAATAAATCCAAAATATATAAAATATCTTGTGTTCTTATAAGAAACTATATTCTACTTTCGATATACATTTAGAAATTAATGGACACTGATTCATTGTGTGGGCAGACCAATTAACTTATTTAGTAACACTGGGGACATATAAATCTCAATGAATGTGAACAACCGGAAAAACGCTCATCTATGCAAAGTGGTTATAATAATATATAAAACGTATAAGATGTAGTACAAACAATAAAGCTTGTTATTTTTATTTTAATAAAACACTTTTTTACTTAAGTAAACCATCTAAAATATTTACTGACTATTTTTACAACTTTAATTAACGAAATAAATATGTAAAATATTTGCTTCATATTAATTCTTGATTATAAAATCTATTGTTTAATGAAATATAGCTTATCGATAATTTTCATATCACCAAATATCATCTGCTTTGATAGTTTCTTATGATGGTAAATATATTAATTAACAATTAGTTAAATATAAGTAGTTAGCAATAAATAAACGCAAAAATACTTCAGATTGATTAATAAAACCATGGTGCGCCTTCCTAGAAGCTGGCTAATTTATGGAAATATCTATGGAATGA